CCGTTTACCTCGCATGCGAGCGCCGCCACGGGCCGGTAACATTTCCCACTGCCTTTCTGGATAAAAATCATTTACCCCCAAAAAATCCTCAAAAATTTCTTTTTATCTAACTCGCTTGTGCGCGCCGCCAAGGGCTGGTAGCACTCTCACTGCTTCTGGAGGTATTGGATACAAATCTATACTTCAAAATTCGAAAAAAGCATTTTCCGATAAAATAAAAATTCACACTGCCGAAAAAATGGGACAAACCAGGCATGTACGTGGTCTCGCATGGCCAATGTTATCAGAGTCCCCCTCGGAGGTACGATTTCTTCATCCGTATCTGGCCATTTTTTTACGGAGGCTCCTGCTAGCGCCTCTTGAGTGCCTCTCCGCCTGAACTTCGTATGTCAGGAAATGGGTTTCTTGATGCTGATGACCAGTTTTGCTGCCTGGATTACTTTTCTACGAGGCTATCATATTTGGACATATGCAACCCAGGCAAATCCACCAGCAAATGCGTATGTCAGGAAATGGGTTTCTTGATGCTGTCACGTAGGCACTACACGGTGTTTGCGATGCTGGTGGTTCAGGTTGCTATGGCTTCTGCCTAACCCCAAGCTATGGAGGCTACTACTCCCTTCTCCTAATAAACTGGATCACCTGTGTGTGATAGAGCTGGGTAATTAGCTCACTGCCCGGGGGGCAAGCGCTTGACATTTGGACACTCCAAATGTAAGGAGCCACCAGGATATGGAGGCTGTGGAAGCACGTCTACAGCCCAACACCCCGACGCTACCTTCTAGAACTCCATGAGTGGTGAGTTTCAGGGTCATCCAGCTGGCCAGATCGGTGAGGCCTGACTGATCCAGTTTGACAAGATTGGACATGATCAACCCAGCCTCGGCGGCCCATAACCTAAGATGCAGTTCGACAAGTTGGGACATGATCCACCCAGCCGGGGTAGGCCATCATAACTATGCTGGGAGAACCTGGGGGTCCTTTTCCGTGTCACTTCTGTCCTATCCTCTAAATGTGAACGCCTAACCAATTGCACAAACACTCGCAGGCATTTTTTGAGAACACAAAGCGAGAGCGCGGACGAGAAGGCAAGACAGCAGGTCAAAACAGTCAATCATAACGAAAAGCAAGCAGAGACTAACATGTGTGTGGAGACCTGGGGGCAAAGGCAAAGACATGCGCCCCCATACGAGAGAGACAAAGAGAGAGAGAGAG